TAGCTTTTTCCACCAAGCCCCTTGTCCAAAAATTTGGTCCCACCATGAGGCTTGCAAGATAGAATTCCATTTTTGGACAGGGACATGCGCTACCTTTTTAATTTCCGCAGCTAGACCCTTTATAGTTTCCCCGTAGTCATCTATCTCCATGCAACACTCGGATTCGTTATACCTTCCACACACTCCTCCCTCCTCGGCTAGCAAATAATCGAGAGCTAGTCTGTTCTGGTACACAAAAGCTCTCATCTGCGAATGTTGTTTTGCTAGGAGTTCCAGGGCTTCTGAAGTGTGGTTTGAGACTACTTCTACCACTGCCTGCAGTCTGATGAGTCGATTGAGGAGGTAGATGGGGGTTCTATAACCCCAACTGCCATCATTAGCCCAGGTGGCCGGACCATAATATTGTATGATCCTTTCCGCGGGCCATTCCTCCTCCTTCCACTTTTGACTGCCTCCTGCCATTGGTAGTCCCTTTTTCAAATCCCTTTTTTGTCGGGCCAGAGTTTCAAAGAGGGGAGCACCTAAAGACTTACTTTCATCTTTAGGTAGAGTAAAGAAAAATGGTCGAATGATTCCGAGTGTGCATGACCCTTTCCATTTCCGTGGTAATTCACTGTATGCTTTTTTCCCGCATACCCAGTAAATCCCATCGGGTGCTTCCCAATTTCTGCTAATTCTTGCCGGATCCTCCCAGTAGTCCCTCAGGCCTATGAATGAATGAAAGGGATTGGCCCCCAGCTTTTTGTTCCAGCAAAGCCCAATATCTTCTATCCATTCACAGTCATTTTCCCGATAGGAGTTCCAATATCCTTCGGGTGGCTCTGGTTGCCAGATTTTTGTCTTTTTGTCTGAATTTACTGCGAGAGTATTTACACAAGGGGTATACCCTACTAGGTCAGTAAATTCTTTTCCTTCCCGGCTGATACAAAATGTTCCGATTATTCTCTTGTCAATCACCCACCCTTCTGGTCTCTGGGTTGTTTTGGATAATATTAAACCTGTCCATTTTAATAATTGTTCTGGGGTCAATGCCTCTCCCTTCCAAGGCCACCTTTCGGCTGATTTCAAACCACCACATATCCAACAATTGGATAAACCCAATTCGGTGGCTATCTCTTGCATTAGATCTGCGAATAGATTTTGATTTGGATTTGGCAATTTCCAATTGTCATATTGTTTTTCCAATTGTTCATAATGTTCACTGAGAGAATTTAACCTCTCTTGTTCTAACCTCTTTCTTTTGTTTTCCATTTCTCGTCGTTTTATTTCTAATGTTAGCTGTTTTATTTTATTTTCCGGATCTAACCCTTCCCCGTCCTTCGAAAAACAAAACACCGGGTCAAACTGGAGACATACCCTTTCATCATTTGGTTCCAATAGGTCTAAAACTATTGGTTCGTTATTGAATGCCATTTTCTTTTCATGTTTCAAATTTTTCCCTTCCCAGTACAATTTATCACCCATTAAACACGGTTTTAAGTTTGCTTTGTTGTAGCAAACAGGGTTAACTCGGTGGTATGCCAAAAAGGTTGATTGTTCTCTCCCCCCGATCCAGACAGTTTTGTTACACTGTCCGCAGACCGAGATCGGGGGAATCCCCTTTATCTCTCTTTTACTCCGTAAGTGGGTCATCATAACCCCTAGTTCTTCCGAGGTCCGAATTGGTCTTTTTCTAATACTCGCTCCAGGGTTAGAACACCAGATTTTTTCTTCCAATTTGCACATTTTGAATTGCGTGTCGTTTAACCAGCATTCTCCCGAGTGTAATTCAGGTGGGCAGACAGTCAGTCCTTCGATTCTCGTGGCAATTTTACATTGCTCACACTTCCCCAGGGGACCCTCCCCTGGGGACACCTCGGACCCCATTCCTTTGGTCGAGTACGTGGCTAGGCTCAGGAGCATCAGGATTCCCCACAATTGCATCCCTCTGCCATTCCCTCCGCCCGTATAATAGCATACGGCGGGGATAACCATCTTCTCGGCAGCAAGGACTGTCTTCAGGGGCCCTTGATGTCCTGATGGCGAACCTTCGCTTGAAGGTCGCCCACCGAGAAGCCTTGACTGTATCAAACCGGCACGGTACTTGCACGGTTCTACGACACTCTATTTTCAGGGGCTCTGCCTTACAATCAAGTTGACCCCTTATTCCTTTTCGGTAAAACAGGAACCACTCCGGAGAGTCGAGTTCCAAAAGGCCCGCCCGGGTAGCGAGTATTAGAAACTTATTGGTCTGTTCTAATTCCCTTTCGTAGCACCTAGTGCACAGTCCCCTTGGCCTATACCCCCTTAAGCAATGAGTTACCCAAGTCTGCTTACAATAAGCACACTTAAAATGTACAAAGGGAAAACAATAGCAATCGCGGATTTCGCAACTTATCCTTTCGTTATTGTTCATTTGCGATGTCTCCGTAGTTTGATCTTCAGCTCTCCCGGCGGGGTGGTGACTTTCCACTCAGTGGCGCTGCAGTCCGGAACTTTCTTTGCTCGAGAGTGATGTGTCCACCCTTTCTCGGCTGTCCGTACTGCAGTATCGGTTGTCAGAAGAACGAGATAAGGGCCTTCCCAATGTGGGCCGAGGGGTAGCTCTTTCCAGACTTTGATTAATACTTTATCTCCCGGTTGAATTTTGTGGATTGGAAATCCCAAGGTGACACTTTGGGGAATCAATCCTCTCTTCCTGAGCTCCTGTAAATTTTTATTTACAGAGATGAGATATGGTTGTAATTGTGCATCCTCTGCTTGAGGATGTGACACGGGCATCCCGTGCTGATATGGCATTCCATACAGCATCTCAAAAGGGGACAAACCCGTTTCTGAATGGGGCATGGTCCGAATGTTTAACAACGCCAGAGGGAGACACCGAACCCAGGTTAATTTTGTCTCTATCATTAATTTAGATAATTGTGATTTTAGTGTTTGGTTCATCCTTTCCACTTGCCCAGAGCTTTGAGGGTGCCAAGGGGTGTGATATTGCCACCGGATTCCTAATGCTTCTGATAATTGTTTGATGATTTTCGATGTGAAGTGCGTGCCTTGATCCGAATCGATATGGTCCACTATCCCATATCTCGGAATTATCTCCTCTAACAGAATTTTGGATACGGTCTGGGCTGTGGCTTTTGCTCTAGGAAAAGCCTCCACCCAATGTGTTAATTTGTCTACTATTACTAGCAGATACTTGTTTCTTCCAATTTTTGGTAGTTCAGTGAAATCTACCTGAATTCTTTCGAAAGGTCGATATGAAAGTGGCCGACCCCCCAATTTTGTTTGTTTCGAATTTGATCGGTTGACTTTCTGGCATACCACGCACCCTTGTACCTCTTGCTTGGCAAGTTCGAAGATTCCCTTACACCCAAAAAATTTCAAAAATTGTTCTGCCAATGCTCTGGTTCCCCAATGTGTTTGTTCATGCAGTCTCCGGAGTATTCCCCTTGCTATGCTTTTGGGAACTAGTTCCCTCCCATCAGGTAACCACCATTTTTTGTCTTTAAATTGCCCCCCTACCTTTTTGAAGTCTTCCAGCTCCTTCTCCGATGGGAGCGCGGACACCTCTGGTGATTCCTTGTGACTAACCTCGGGAATACTTACCGTTAACAATGCCGCTCGTTTTGCCTCCTTGTCTGCCCAATTGTTTCCTCTGGTTTGAAATTGCCACCCAGTTTGGTGTCCCCTTACATGGACAACCGACACCTCCAGTGGCTCCCTGACTGCCTCTAAAATTTGCTTAATGATCTCTCCGTGTATTAATCCTTTACCTTTCGTATTTATTAGTCCTCGTTCTTCCCATATTTTTCCGAAAGTATGCACTACCCCAAATGCATACTTTGAGTCTGTGTAAATGGTTCCCCTTTTTCCTTTCAAGCCTTTGAGGGCTTTTAGGAGAGCAAATAGCTCACAGGCCTGGGCCGACCAGTTTGCCTGCAGGGGACCTGATTCTATGGTTTGTCCCGTCATACCATTTATGATGGCATAACCCGATTTTCTTTTACCTTCTACCATTTTCGATGATCCATCAATGAACCATTTTTCTCCACCTTCTAACTCCTGGTCTTCCAAGTCCGGTCTTATCTTAGTTTGCAGCTCTACTGCTTCGATGCAATTATGGAGTAGCTCGCCTGTTGGTTCCCCGAATAAAAACTGCGCTGGATTTTGGGCAGTGGTTGTTCTCAGCTCGAGACCCGGCGAACTGATTAACATCGCTTCATATTTCAGAAGCCTCGAATCAGTCAGCCATTTCTCGGCTTTTTGTTGTAAGACATTTCTTACATCATGTGGGGTATATACTGTTAAAGGGGCTCCAAAGGTTATCCTTTTTGCTTCCCCGACCAACAGAGCTACCGCAACAATTGCCTGCAAGCAAGTAGGCCAACCTCGGCTGACCGGATCTAGGATTTTCGATAGAAATCCTATTGGTTTTTTCTTTTCTGCCCACTCCTGGGTCAGAACTCCTTGGGCTGTTTGTCCACTGACGTCGACAAACAATTGGAACTCTTTATTCGTGTCAGGTAAAGTTAGAACCGGAGCAGTAATAAGTGCATTTTTCAGCTCCTGGAACTTACTTTCATCCTGCGCTGTCCATTTTAGTCGGTCCGTATTTAATCTTTCATACAAAAATTTTACCTTTTCGCTAAATCCTTCAATCCACTGCCGGCAGTATCCCAAAAGTCCTAAAAACTGTCTTATTTGTCTTTTCGTTTTAGGGGCAGGAAGTATGAGAATTCCTGCTACCCTGTCAGGATCTAACTTCTTTTTACCCTGTGATATCCAATGCCCTAGATACTTTACCTCGGGCTCTGTGAACTGCAGCTTAGATTTGGACACTTTCAAGCCCTTCTGTCCTAGGAAATTTAACAACGAAATTGTGCTCCTTTTAACTTGTTCCTCAGTCGTCCCAGCAATTAATAAATCATCTACGTATTGTAATAGTTTTGTCCCTTCCTCCGGATGAAATTGTGTGAGTAGTTGTTCCAATGCTTGTCCGAACAAGTTTGGTGATTCCACAAAGCCTTGTGGGAGGACAGTCCACCTTAACTGTTGATTTCTGTTCGTGTCAGGATCCTCCCATTGAAATGCAAAGAAATTTCTACTCCCTTCATCCAAAGGACAGGTCCAGAATGCATCCTTTAAGTCAATCACACTGTACCAAACATCCTCAGGCGAGAGTCTGTTTAGTAAAGTATAGGGGTTGGCTACGACTGGGAACCTGGTTCGGGTCCGAGCATTTACTGCTCTCAGATCCTGAACCAGTCGGAAACTCCCATCTGCTTTCTTTACGGCCAGGATGGGGGTGTTATGTTGGGACATGCACGGCTCGAGAGTTCCTCCTTTGAGGAGGTCGTCAATTACTAGTTTTAAACCCCTTCTCCCTTCTATAGGGATGGGATATTGCTTGATCCTGATTGGATCATCCGGGTTTTCTATCTCAATTTTGATGGGGGGAATATTCAATTTCCCCACCTCTCCCTTGGAATGCCACACCTGAGGATCAATTTCTTTCTCATCTTTTGGCGTTAAATGGAATATTTTTATTACTAATTCGGAATCTTTCACCACAATGTTTATCCCTAATGCAATAATCATATCTCTCCCTAATAAATTATAATCCGCTTCCTCTACTAACAACAAATTTCCTAAACAAACTTTATTTTCAGATTCAATTTCTACATCTTTTATTACAGAGACCTTAAAAGGGTCTCCCTTTGCGCCAATTACAACCACCTTTTCTTTGCTTGTGAGGCATCCCTTGGGTAATTTCTGTAGGGTGCTTCTTTCAGCTCCCGTGTCGACTAAAAATTCAATTTCCTGGCGATGGGGACCTACTTTAAGTTTTATCAAGGGCTCCGTTGCTGTTAATGTCCCCATCTGAAAGAGCCCAAGACCTCCCTAGTCTTCTTGAAATATTTTCTCATCTTTTTGTTTCTGCCGGCAATCCCGTTGGAAGTGCCCTACCCTTTTGCAATAAAAACATTCTGGAGGATTTTTTCGGGGAGCCGGGTTGTCCTTTTGCGACTCCTGTGGCTTTTTCGGTAATGTCTTACCTTGTTTCTGTTCTTGTTTTTGAACTTCTTTTACTGCGGCCACTAGGATTTTGGCCTGCAGTTTCTGTTTTTCGTCTTCCCTTCGCATATATACTTTTTGAGCTTCTCTTAGAAGCTCTTGTAAACTTTTCTCTTGCCACCCATCAACCTTCTCTAATTTCCTTCTTATGTCCTCCCATGATTTTGCTACGAACTGTGTTTTTAGCAAAACCTCTCCCACTGGAGAGCTGGGGTCCGTTCCAGAATATATCTGTAAACTTCGCCTCAGTCTTTCTAACCACTCTGTGGGAGATTCTTCCTTTCCTTGGCATTCCCCGAATACTTTACTGATATTTTGTCCTCGGGGAACCGCTTCCCTTATTCCTTGTACAATCATGTTTCTTAAATCAATCATGTTCCTTCTTCCTTCTTCTGTTTGGGCACTCCAACTCGGGTTTACGCCGGGCCATTTTTGGCTTCCTGGCGTCCCCTGCGGGTTTCGCCGCTCCCAGTCTCTGATACCTGCCTGTTTGATCATTTCCCTTTCCTCCTGGCTGAACAACGATCTCAATATAGACATGAGATCCTCATAAGTGTAAATACTACTTCCTAGAAATTCGTCTAACTTCTCCGCCACCCCAAACGGGTCGTCTAACAATCGCCCCATCTCCTTTTTGAATGCCCGCACGTCCCCTGAATTAAGGGGTACATTTACAAATCCAATAACTCCTGGGGCGGTAGGCACTTCTCTGAGGGGAAACATTCGATGCCTACTTTCGTTTTCTCCCCAATCCTCATGCATCGATCTCGCTTTGTAGCGAGTTCGACTTGAGGGAGGGGAACTAAGATTCTCAAACATTGGTTCTCTTATTGTTTGCGGATATTCCGCTGTACCCACCTTATCAAATGGGGTACTTTCTGTTGTTTTTGAGGGTCCCGGCAGTGGTGGTTGGACTGGCAACGGGGGATAAGGTGTTTTCCAGCCTTGCATTCCCCTGGCCCCTGAGAGGGCTGTGGTTGCCGTGGTTTCAGTTGGCGGGGACATCGGGGGAGCCGCCGGAGCCGTTACCGGCGCCGTCTCCCTTATCTGTGGGGTGTGTCCACCAGCCGGTTGTTCAGGGGAACCCGTGGGTGCTGATGGCACCACTTGATCTGCCGCAGGAAGCCCCGCTGGCCCGTTGTATGGTGGGGGCAGGTGATCCAGGGGTTCCCAACTTTCTGTTTTTATTTCATTTTTCTGTTTCACTGGGAACAGCCCGACCTTGGGAGCTAACCAAAGTCGGGCGTATTCTTTTTCCTCGGAGTCCGAGGAGGCTTTACGCTCCACGTGAGAGATTAACTCGTTACATGTCCACTTCTCAAATGTACCTAGTACTGGCCAGATGAGGTAATTTCGCAACTCTTGCCCACCCCAAACCTCAGCACAGTAATAGATCATCTTTGCCTTGGACTTCCTTTTTCTTTCGGGACACTTTTCCCAATTTCTCAACATCCACCCCAAAGGACTTTCTGGGGGAATGTCTAACAATTCCTTCGTTCTTTCAGAAGGGTCCTTTTCCTTAATTTCTTTTTGTACCTTACTTTTTCTCTGCCCCATAGTGAAGAGAGAAAATTCTTACCTGTTCTCTGCGTTGTGTTCTTTCGGTTATACTTGGGAAGTCAAAAGGACTGCCAATACTCACCTTCGCGGTTTGCTGCACCGGGGTTTTTCTTGGCGCTCTGACCTTTCCCTCGGAACCCTCCCTGGGTTCTCTTTTGGGTTGAAAGAGTTTACTAATTCCCGAGCTCGATGGGACGTCCTCTTCCCCTTTCAACCCCCTTTGCGATCGGTCCTCCGGGACTCCCTTTAGCCCCGGGATTGACAAATGTGGCAGAGAGTCTCACACGGAATCGCTTCCTTCGCGGCCGGCCAATTCCCTCGCGGGAGGATGGAAACGCGGCCTTGAAGTCCACACTCGCTCCGTGATCAGATCACGTCTCACACACACTTGCCCAATCGCCCGCTCAACCTCACAATACTTACAGCAACTTTTCTTGCAAGGATGTCTTTGTGCACTTCAGACTTTTTACAAGCTACCAAGCCTCGGCTTTTCCTGAAGGCCCCGTGCCTTCCCGAGCTCTCTGGATCCGTTTCTTTTTATTGTGGTTTTTACCTTTCCCAAATTTGGTTCGGATGTTGGGGTGGGCTGCGGAGGTTCTCGACTTCCCAGGCCGCCGAAATCGGCGGGGGGACCCCCC